AATTGCTTATATTCGTAATAATGCTCCAGGGAACACTGCGAAAGGTGGAAACATGCGTACTTACAACCACCCACCGCACAACCACGGGCTCTAGTATTGCCGGTTATCCCGACCCCGCCCCTGTCAAGTTTCGAATCCTGGCCACCTACCCTACGAGGCGAGCACCCTATCACTACACTACGGAACTAAGTTGACGTGTCATCACTGCTCCTAGCCCAATCCAGCACGACGGACCGCTTTTACAGATATCCATGTAATCCCTTTAGTAAGTTTGGAAACTAACGTCAGGACCTTTCAGCAGTCATTACTTGGCAGCGCCTTCGATGAATACAGGGCTGATTTTCTTTGTATGGCATCTATACCGTTCGTTAAGCGGGCAATAAACGCTCACCAATAACATTGCGTGGGAAGCATCTGCTGGTGGCACGGCTTTTCAGATACTGGGTATGCAAACCCTAAGCTAATCACGCATTTGTGGGCGATATCTTCAGGTGTCGCATAACCGAAATGAGCAGCGTACATGTTTCAGCAGTTATGCGTTATGTGGGTGTGAATTGGGAACTGTTGAAATGCGCATCTCTACTAAATGAATAGTTTGCTTATTCTAGGAAGTTAAACAAAAGACTTTCTGGTTTCAGTTGCAGCTGAACATCTGATGTGGCACTAAGCAGATATCATATGCCATACTTTAAAAAGCCCCATGGTAATTTTTCCCGTTGTTCCCAGTTTTAATTCCGTTTGCATCCTGGTTGTGCCTGTTTATAGCGGTCGTTTTCCTATTGTATACGTGTTGTAATTCTAATCTGTTTTCCACATGCACTTGGCTGTCTCGCTAAACACCGAGACGGATGGAACCTATGGGGTCCTCGTTTGAGGAGTCCATTGCAGCTTGCTGACAGGTTAACCGTTCAGCGCCAGTAACAGATGTATCTGGCGCTATGCAGTGTGACGTCTGCTGCCGCTGGTATCACAAAAGCTGTACCGGTCTACAAGCTGACCAGTACAAAACGCTACCATCAAACGTTCACTTTATTTTTAGCTGTGCTGAATGCGGCGCTCAAAGTTTGACATACCCGGCTGTCACCGGCGCTAAACTTTCAGCGCTGTCTTCAAGTTTGGCAGATGTTGAGGAGGCGATAGCTAAACTCGCCTCTGTTGCGTCGCTCGATAAGAAAATGGATTTGATTTTAAAATTCCTGAATATTTCGATTGAAGCCACTGAAATAGACGGCAACATTGCTGACGATCCATCCACTGGAGTCGGTCACTCGGTCATAAAGTCGCACATCCTACCGGCCAATCCAGGTGTCGTTGCTGGCTGTCTTCATGAGCCAAGCGGAGTGAATAAAAATAGGGTGCGGAACTACCAAATATCTCTGCTAACCCAGAGAATCAGTTGCCACGGCATCGGAAAAGATGCCGTCGTTAACAGTCGTAAAGTCGTCTGACGATTGTGCACAGAACCTTCCGTAGATGCCGGCCGTCTAAGACGCCAGTAAACCAGCCCGTTCTGACAAAGTGCTGGTAACTGCACAATGCGATACAAAGTCAACGGCTTCTGCTCCAGTGAACCAAAAGAAGAAGCGGGCTAGATCTGCTCGTAAAATTTGAAGGGACTTGGATACCCAGGAACTAGTAAGACGCCGGCAATAGAGCGGAAAAACTACGCTACCGTTGATTTGGCGTCGTTTGTGTAGAGGGGGACCGTCCCACCGCCAGTGGTGAAAACAGCTGGTATAGGTGTAGATTTCAATGCACGTAGGTTAAACACTCCTCGTCGTGCAGAATCTTTCATGGATAGTAGCGTTATATTCCGTAGCGTTGCTGCATCTGCGGCCGCTGTCCCAAGGGAACGCATCTTGGAAGAGACCAAGTGGCTGAAGCTGTGTCAGCAAGCTGCTTCCACCTGGCTCCCCTGGTGTCACTGTCAGAGAGCTAACCAGGTTGGGGAACGTCCCCATCGCTCCACCAAATCCACGACCCCGACCACGTCGCGTAGTCCTTTCTACACCGGAGGAACGCAAATCATTACTGCGGTTTGAGTTCAAACTTAAGGGTAGTGGTGACAGGTAGATTGAAGTTTAAGAAGGCTATCAAAGCCCTCAACACTAGACGGACGACTGGTGCGCAAGACCTCCGTCTGGTGGTTTTCAGGTGGTCAGCCGGAAGTAACTTTCCGCCATATCAGAACCCATCCTGATAGCGCACGACCCAGGGATGGTCGTGCCGACGTCCTTCAGGTAGTACTTAGCAATTTGCGTAGCCTAAGGAACAAGGTACACGAGTTGGGTCGAATGTAGACAAATCTCATCCCGACCTACTAGCTTTTACTGAAACGTGGTTGTCTCCGGATACCACGGACAGTGAGGTATATTTACCTGGCTACGCGCTGTTTAGAACTGCTTGCTCCTTTGGTCGCCAAGGCAGAGGCGTTGTACTGTAGGTCAGTCGTAAGTTAGACGTTTTGAGGACCTGCACATTCCAGTAGTCGGATCAGACTGTTGAAGCCCTATCGGCTGTTTTGTGCACTGCCTCCACCCAATTTACAGGTATAGTGATATACAGAAGTCCTAGAAAGTCTTCCAGGGGGCTACTTGATTTTATTCGCACTCAGTCTGCGAATAAGTGTTTAGTTCTAGGGGATTTCAACCTCCCAAAAGTCTGTTGGGCCGATCTTTCTTGCAATTCGGCATTAGAAACATTCGGTGCAGGCTTCCTTGAACTGACTCTCCAAGTGCCTTTGCACCAGTTCGTTGACCTTCCCACTAGGTATATGGACAACTAAATACTATCTACTTGGATTTGGTTTTCGCTAAGTCCCTGAACCTCGTGACTGACTTTCCATACGGTGCACCTCTAGGGTCCAGCGATCACGCATGCATATCCTTTCGATGTGCTCTTACAAGGCACCAAGTGACCGCTGTTGAATTACTTCCAAATACTTGGCGGGCATACTTTAGTGCAATGCGAACTAAGGCTTCAGTTCTGAACTGTGAGATCTCGATGGCTGATTCTGTCCAGATAGCCTGGGATAAATTTGAGGCATACCTTACGGAGGTTTCCACTCCCTATATTCCACACATTAGAAAAATAGGGTTAAGGGCACAGCCTCCGTGGATAGATGCCACAGGCAAGTACATACTCAGGAAACGGTCTAGATGCTGGCGAACCTACCAAGCAGCTCCATCAGCCAGCACCAATGATAGTTATCGAGAGACTAGAAATAAATCTAAGCAACATCTCATAACTGCTCGTCTCGAGTAGGAGCAGGGTTTAGCGGACTCGGCCGCAGCTAAGCCCAAGCAGTTTTCTGCTTACGTTAAAAGACGCAGCGGGACAAAACTGTCTATACCAGCGTTATTGCGAGGAGGCGGGACTCGTGTGCAAACTGACTGTGACAAGGCTTGTATACTGTGTGATCAGTTTCCTGAAGTCTTTGCTCGGGAGACCTCTTTACCACAGGTTGAATTGGTTTCAAGAGTTCCAGAGAATCCTTGCTTGGCTGAATTTAGCATACCGGAGACTCAGGTCTTCGAGCTACTGCAAGGCATTAATCCCTCTAAAGCTTCTGGTCCTGATTCAATCCATCCGAAGCTGTTGCATGAATTGGCCACTAAGCTGAATGGTCCGCTCACATGCGTACTTTCAATATCGTTGGACAGCTGCAGCCTACCTTCGGAATAGAAGGAGGCAATCATCTGTCCGATTTTTAAGGGCGGTGACAGCGCTCTACCCGCGAACTACCGGCCTGCCAGTTTGACAAGCGTAGTAGTCAAGTTGTTCGAGAAGCTGATAAGGGATCCAGTGGAGAACCACCTGAATCGATTCAACCTTCTCAGTGTTGCGCAACATGGATTCTGCAAAGGATTTTCATGTCAGACTAATCTACTTGTAGCTCGTGAAAGCTGGTCCAAAGCGGTAGACATTGGCCACACTGTAGACGTGCTATTCGTAGATTTTTAGAAAGCTTTTGACACTGCTCTACATCTTCCACTCTCACTAAAATTGAGATCTTACAGGATATCTGGGCACGCCTTTCAATGGGTGTCTGCCTTTCTTGAGGGGAGGGAACAGTGCGTACGGGTGGGGCGTAGCCTTTCGCTCAGACAATCTGTCCTTGATGGCATCCTGCAGGGCTCTGTACGGTGCCATTGTTGTTCGCGATCTATGTAAATGACTTGCCGGGAGAGCTAGCGGTGTCATCATTAATGTTTACTCACAGTCTGTGTG